GGGAAGATTGAACCACAACAGAAGATAGATCAAGTAGATGAGACTGAGCTGGTGAAATAGCATTTTATGACTTTTGACAAAACTATTGCTGATTTTCTTCTAGGCTTTTTTGTCCGGTTTTACAGATTTTTGTCCTGTCTTCAGCTGCCCATAGGTTCATGTACCTACTATTTGAACAGAATTCTATACAGTTTCCTGGCTTTAAGTTTTTTTGTTTGTTTGTCTGTTTGGATTTTTTTGTTTTTCTTTTCTTTGGAGAGGTTTTAGCTATAGGGTGCATGTGCTTGCCAGAAAGACAGAGAGAGACAGAGAGATAGAAAGCGAGAAATCACTCCCCAAGGAGGGTTTTTTATTAAGTACATGAGACTGAACTGGTGAAATAGCGTTTTATGACTTTTGACTAAAACATTGCTGATTTTCTTCTAGGCTTTGTTTTCCGGTTTTAAGGATTTTTGTCCTGTCTTGACTTGTCTAGGTGCATGTTTCTACTACTTGAACAGAATCCTAACCTGTTTCCTAGCTTTAAGTTTTAAGGCAAATTCCTTAGCATTTCTTTGATTTATTAAAGTTAAAACTGCTTTTCTTGAAATTACCAGCTGAACTTGCTATTGAAAGTAGTTAGATTATTTAAGAAATTGTGTGATCAATAAAATGGGTTGAGAAGGAATGTAAGATAACTGTAGACACCAGAGATAGTGTGAGAAGAGGGTGGGAAAGGGCAGAGGGTGAGAAATAAGGGTAATATATATATACATAAATATATATGAAACTAGAAATGGAAAATTATGGATGAAAACATGCATGATTAAGCCTCTATGCAGTATATTCTGGATGGGAAATCACATTTTGTATGTTGTGGCAATGCTTAGGGAATAAATATAAATTAATTAACTTAAAAAAATGTTTCAGGGGGGAAAAAAACATGAAAACTGTTTTTCTTGAAATAAAAAAAAAGGGGGACCAGCAGCTAGTGTTATGGCTATGTCACTGGACTCCCACATAGTCGACTGCGGTTCGAGCCCCAGACCCGGTGACTTAAACTCACCCCGGACACGTGTGCGTGCATGCTCAAGATCCCTAGAGGAGAATGGAGGAGAAGGGATTGTGGTGTGGCCATCCCCCCAGGGGGGGGTGATTTCTCACTTTCTCTCTGGTGAGCATGTGCAACCTATAGCAAAAATCTCTTTAAAAAAAGAAAGTCTCTTAATAGTTCTAAACATTGCCTATTTGAGTATTAGAGGCCAACCAAGCTCAGTTCTAGCTCCATCAAAAACTTATGGGTAGTGCTCAGGGCTATTGCTTTCTCATGTTCCACTGCTGCTTCTGAATGTAGAAATGAGTAGAACCATGATTTTTATCATCACACCTTCCTGTAGAAGAATGTTATGTAGCTCTCATTTATTAGATGAAGTACTACGTTGAAATGGCATATTAACAGTGTAGCATTTGTATGTTCAGAGTCATTCTTAAGAAAACTCTTGGTACCAAGAATGTCCTTTAACAGGTCATAAGATACATAACTGAACATTTACCAAGTTAGACTATTACATTTAAAATGAAAATTAACCAAGTGTTTAATGTATGTCCAAGGTATCTTAAGTTCTCCAGTTTAAGAGTGAATTTAAAAGATAAATAAATTGCCCATTGAGCAACAGAGACAAAATTGATGGGGAAAAACTAGATCCTCATATAGAGATCTTAAGTGTGTGTACACAAAATAACGTGATTCCAGAATACGTGAGGCAAAAACTATGCAACTGAAAGGAAAAACTGACAAATATACAATTACAGGTGGAGATAGTAACACCTCTCTCTTAACAACAGATAGAAAAATTGCACAGAAAATCAGGACAAATACAGAAGAGCTTAAAAACATTATCAGTCGGGGACCAGCAGTTAGCGTAATGGCTATGTCACTAGACTTCCACATAGTTGACCACCGTTCGGGTCCCAAACACGGTGGCTTAAACTCACGCTGAGCGCGTGTGTGTGCGTGCCCAAGATCCCAAGAGGAGAATGGAGAGATTGTGGCGTGGCCATCCCCCCTGGGGGGTGATTTCTCGCTTTCTGTCTCTCTGTCTCTCTGTCTTTCTGGCGAGCATACGCACCATATAGTAAAAAAAAAAAAAGAACATTATCAGTCAACAAAATCTTATCAACATTTATAAAACACTACACCCAACAACACAATATCCATTCTTTTCAAATACTCATTGATTATATGCCAAGATAAACCATATTCTGGAACAAAGTAATCCTAAAAAATTTCAAAATCACTGAAATCAAATTGAAAATGTCCTCCAATCACAATAGAAGTAAACTAACAATCAATAAAAGAAAGAAAACATGGAAACTCACAAACGTTGAGATTAAACAATGCACTTCTAAATACTTCATGGGTCAAATAAGTCTCAGGAAAATAAGTGCCCTGAACTGAATGAAAATGAAATGACAACATATTGAAATTTATAAGATGCTATTTTTCAATAAAAGTTACTAGAGCTTCTCAGAAAAATAGCTAATTCTAAGACAGAGACAGGAAATATACAAATGAATCTGAACAAGAACGTAAAGAAATGATCAAACAAAACCAGACAAAAGAAAAAACACATTGATGGGGAAAAATCAAAGGAAC